AAGACTAGAGGGAAGGCAGCTAGTCATTTGCATATTATTTCATTAGACTTATAGTTTTCGTTTGTGTAATTAATATATTGTATCTATTTGGTTTCTCAAGCGCATGAGGTCAAGGAAGTTTTCAATATCCAATTCTAAGAAACACGTATTTTGTTTTCTAATGAGACCTTATAGTCTAACACTACTTACACAGAACTCTCGAATCTGACAACTTCTAAGAAACACATAAATGTTCTTTAATTTAAGTTAGCTGGATGCCCCCAGTGGCACAGCGGTATGTTTGCGGACTTACAACGCTAGAATCCGAGTTTCGATACCCGTTGTGGGCAGAGCACAGATAGTCAATTGTGTAGCTTTGCGCTTAATTACAAACAAACAAGTTAGCTGGATTCTAAGTTCAGACTCTTGTTATCCAATTCTGGTAGCTCTTCCCATAATAGTCTGTTCAAAACAACTGTGTATATGTGAGTCTGAATAAAGGTGGAAGAAAGGTTTTAATTCTCTCACGTTCAGGTGACAGTTCTTTTAGGTATAAAATAGTGGAACTCCAATGCTCTTCAGCTTAGTCTCAGTCTGATGCTGATCAAGTTCATGGACGAAAAATATATGAACTAGTCTGCAAAAATAATAATATCAAAATCATGTTATCTTCTAAATATTATTCTTATTTGTCATTTTATTTTGGTTTTAATTATTATTACTATTTTTTATGCATGGAATTGTTACATTTCACTAATTACTACCATTGTTATGATTTTTAGTCTACTTCGGCTGCAAAAAAAAAGTATAGCTCACAATGAGATGGAATAACAACAAGGTTCATTGATCCTAGTCGGAAGAGATGGTCCACCAGAACAAGTTCGGGTATATCTGCTGGGAATTACCATTATATCATAATAGGTAGATTCAATGAAGAATTTATGATGTATATCTATCAATACATGGACTGCGAGAATGGTAAGTTACACACTACAAAAGAAGGTTTAATGTTTTTTTTGTTTTGTTTTTTTACAAATTGAAGGCAAGAATTTAAAAAATTGACCCCATCAGTGACTAAGACTATAAAGCCTAAATTTGGTCAAGAGCGTTTACTGGAATTTTGCAATCGCACCATTTTTGTTGCGTATGATGAGTCAAATAATGTTTCTATTCAGTTTACAACTCATTCCAGTGTAATAATTTTCCAATTCTTGTTGTTTTAAATAAATTAGAATGGTACAGATTATGTGAACATATTTGTTTTGTAGATTAATATGTAATAATTTAACCCAATATGATTAAAATTAATATCTGATAATATCAAAAAAAATCTATAATACAAAAGCACACAAAAAAAGAGAATTATAAGGTATGTGATACTGATGATCAAAACCCGGTTTCTAGTGTTGTACGTCTGCTGACATACCACTGAGTCCAATTTCTGTTAATATCATTTGTATACTATTTTGTTATTCTGAATAAAAGAAAACATGTACTTTTTTGTTTTATTTAAATTAATTCACAACAATGATCTGATCATTTGGTCTACAATCAATGGTAAATCTATGAATGGAATATTCACATGAAAACATTTTGAAAAACCAAATTATGAACAAACATATTATTAATATTCTTATTAGAGTTAAATTTCTCTAACAGTTTTCATTTCGACACATGCCTACAATGGTAATAAGCATAATATATACAATATTGTCCATACACAGATGAATATTATCCTTGCAGTGCTTTTCATGTTATGAGGAGGTAGTCTGAACTTTTTCCATGTACACAAATCTCGTGTGAGTATTTAGTAAATTTCTTTAGTGTTTATAGCTTCTTACATATCATTTATGATGTTTCTTGACTGGTCAATTTCTGAAATGGGACTCGAATTCAGCATAGGCGAGAAAATGATTTGCACTCTCTATATTTCAAAGGATATTTAGTTATTCCTTTCTGAAAGGCTTTAGCATGTGACAGAATAAGTGATAAACTGATTTTGACTTTTCTAATGAGGATAGAAATGTGTTGTAGAACAACCTTGAATCCGGATTCTTTGCTTGACATAATGAAAAATGCATCTTTACTTCGTACGAGACAAAGTTTTAAACTTAGAACATTGGGCAAGAATTTGTTTTGTAAAATGATGTCCAAATTTAGAAGGCCAATCATGTCAACTATTTGACTGTCACGTGTATCTATTTGTCAGTCTTTGCTTCCATCATTCTCACCATCATTAAACTCGAGATGGTCCAAATTACCCACTGTGTCCTTTACCAACATAGATTATGTCAAATGGCTTCTCTTAGCTTCTCCATTATAACTCAGTAAAGTTTCTATGTATGCCTTATACATGTAAAGATTGTAAAATAGTGAGTGAAATTAGTTTGTCATTCAGGTGTACACCAACTTGAAAGAAGAGAGAATGAAGAAATAGAATGACGGGAGCAGACTTATCTTCATCTCTTTTTTTATGTTGATTCCATCAGGTTTGACACTTTTTGTCTTCACATGAATATATTATTGAGCAAGCTCTATGTAATCAAAAAACTCAGTACAGATA